CCTCGCAGCCATCACTTCTCTCTCTCTCTTTCTCTCTCTCTCTCTCTCTCTCTCTCTCTCTCTCTGTCTGTGTGTGTGTGTGTGTGATCAGTTTTAGTTTTTTGACTTTGGTTGTGGGTGATATTCTTCGGTTGGAGAGAAGGTGGGAGGGAGCCACCCATCCGCACAAGCCCGGCACGAAGCAGTGAAATTCTGTGCGCTGTCATCTTAGATATCTTCCAGATAGGTTGGTTTGGAATTCCCTACGCAGCCAAGGCTTCCCTTCAACGACTGATCTTCCTGGCTTAGATTCGCTAGTTCTGAGATACAGGTGTGTGCCACCCTGCCACGCTTGAGAGGGTGAGAACAGTATTGTTCTGATTTTAATCTTCGGAGTACTGGAGATGGGGGTGGGTGTCACGAAACCCCGGACAGCTCAGGCACACTGATGCTGACCTTAAACTCCCGATTTTCTTGTCTCAGACCCCCTAGTTCTGGGATAGTAGGTGTGCGCCACCATGGCAGTTAAGCCTGGCTTAAAAAAAAAAAAAAGCGTTTTCTTTGTTGTTGAGACAGTTTCACTGTGTAGTCCAGGCTAGCCCCTAACTCTCAGTATGGCTTGGTTGTGATCCTCCTGTCTCAGCCTCATAAGTTGGGGTGATAGGTATGGGCCACCAGGCCCTGTGCAGAAACGCAATAGTGGTAGCCTGCGTGGTGAGGCTAGGGAATGAGGTCAGTTCTTATCTGCTGTCATAGTTTGACACAGCAAACCAAGGGATGATGTCCATGATTTCCACATAACTAAGGCATTCAGCTCCAAGTCTCTGGATCCAGGTGTGCATTTAACATTCGGGAAATTAAACTGGAGGCACGTCACAGCTCTGGAACTTGTCCTTCCCCTGCGCTGGTTCAGTCCTTGCTTTTGTGCAGGCATGTTCAGGAGAGCATCGACTTACTACTTCATGCTTCTTCCGTCTGGTCTTTAGTGCTCCCCCTCCTTGAACACACAGCTGAGGAGACATGGTCCTGATGGGGGAGGCAGTAGAGCATAGTGTAGGGGTGGTGGACCTACAGGATGGTTTTTGATAGTGTGGAAAATCTGTAGAATTCCAACTGTGGACCAGGTCTATGGTCCATGCTTGTAATCTTAGACACTTGTGAACTGCCACTGGGGTGCTGGGATCCTGACCCGGGTCCCCTGGAAGAACAGCTGAGCCTTCTTTCTAGTACCACAAAACTTGTTCTTAATTGTTTATTTATTTATTTTTTGATTTTTGAGACAGGGTTTCTCTGTGTAACCTGACTGTCCTGGAACTCGCTCTGTAGACCAGGCTGACCTCAAACTCACAGAGATTCATCTGCCTCTGCCTCTTGAGTGCTGGGATTAAAGGTGTGCGCCATGCCCCACTCCCCACCCTACTCCAGCCTAATTGTGTGTTTATTAAAGTTATTGTCCATAATGATGTAGTTGGTGTGTTCATAGCTTGTGAAGCGCTCATACTGGCCCTGGTACTGTGTGATAACACAGTGAGTCAAGTGAATCAGTCTCTGCCACTTACATGCCCGCATGCATCCTTGTAAATTACCTAATCTATTTTGACTGGGTTTCCTCTCCTGTAAAATAGGGATACTGCCTAGTGGTGGTATAGCGCTAATCCCAGCACTTGGCAGGCAAATCTCTGTGAGTTCGAGGTCAGCCTGGTCTACGGAATGAGTTCCAGGACAGGCTCCAAAGCTGAAAAAAAAAAAAAAGACCTGTCTTGAAACCTCCCCAAACCCAAACAATAGGGATACTAATAGTCACCTAGCAGTGTTGGTAGGATTAGAATACCCATCCGGTATATACTGAGCAGTTATGTGCTCAGTTCATTGGCATGTATTTTCTCTTTAGCCTGTTGTAATCTGGTTTTGCCTCTATTACTCTTGAGAGTTTCTTACAGTGTGTTACTGACATCTTTAATTTTCATTTCTCTTCATTTTTGGTCACATTACTTCGTTTGTATTTGCATGCCGTGGTGTGCCTATGGAGCTGAAAGGACAGCTCTGGAGTCAGTTCTCCCCTCCCACATTCATGTGGGCTCCAGGGGTCAATCTCAGCTTCTACACTTGTAAGGCGACACCTTTACCCCCTGGGTGGTCTTAGCAGGCTGTCTTTAATTTAATATTTTACAATTTTAAACACTCCTAGGCAAGCAGATCAGTAGTTAGACCTTTATTTTTTTTTTAGCCATGGTTAAGATTTTGGAACTAGAGTTGCAGACACAGAAGTGTGCTGCAGTTAATTCTGGTGAGTGTCACACAGCTGTCCCCTGTTCTTTCAAGTGACGTCCCCACAGTTAGCTGCCTTTTGCTCCAACTGTCTGTAGTTTGGCCTGCCCCTGCCTCCTGAGTGCTAGGATTAAAGTGTGTGCCACCATGCCAGACTCAGAAACCTTGCATCTCTTTGCTGAAGAATACATTAATCAGAGCCTTTAATTTCCTATTTGAAAATGTTTGTGGATGTTAGAAAGGAGTTTTGAGTTATAGATACTTGGCTGACTTAAATGGTTTTCTGGCTAAAGTCAATCAAATTCCTAAGAAGTAGAAGTGCGTCTTATTCCTGTTAGTACAGGCCTTTAACCAAGTACTTGGGAAACAGAAGCAGGTGGATTTTTGTGAGTCTGGAGCCTGCCTTATGTGAATAGCAAGTTTCAGGCTGTCCAGGCTACACAGGAAGACCTTGTTTCAATAATAATAATAATAATAAAAGTAATAATAAAATAAAAAGAGTAATAATAAAATAAAAAGATAATCATGCAGAATGGTAAGATTTTTTTAAAAATCTCATTTATGAATACATAGAAAAACTGAAAGCAGAGTAGTTTTTAATAATCCTGATCTGGGGCTGCGGTGTAGCTGTGACCTGGCATGTGTTTAGCCTTTGTAAGGCTGTGTTCATTCCCAAACACCAAAACAAGGCTCTTCAGTCTTCAGTCATACCAAATTATCCAAACAGTGAAATCAGCATGGTAAAGGTTAATCAGATTATTTATGTCAACATATTAAAAGGCAAAAACTGATGGTTTGGACATTGCACACGTGGCATCCATGGAAATGTAGTGTTTGACTGAATTCAGTAGATGCATAGCAACCAAGAGATCTGGGTTAAATACTTAGAACCAAGAAGGGGAAAAAAAGAAAGCCAGGCATGGTAGCATATGTCTGTCACCCCATCACTTGGGAGGTAGAGACAGGAAGCTCAGGGTTCAAGGCCAGTTTGAAAGACAGGAGACCCTGTCTCAGCCCTTTCCCCATAAAAAAAGAAATAACATAGTGAAAATCTTTTTGTAAACTTATGAGTAAGTACTTCCTTACCCTAGAGAAGTCTTCTGTTGTAGTTATGGCTTCTGTTGCTGTGATAAAACACCATCACGAAAGGCAACTTGGGGGTGAAAGAGTTTATTTATTCCTCTCAGGGCACACTCCATCGCTTGGGGAAGTCAGGGCAGGAACCTGGAAGCAGGAGCTGATGCAGAGGCCATGGAAGAGTGCTACATATTGGATTGCTCTTCATAGCTTTGATCAACTTGCTTGCCTATAGAGCCCAGGACCACCAGCCCAGGGATGGTACTGCCTATAGTAAGCTGGGTCCTCCCACATCAATCCTCAGTCAAGAAAATGCACCACAGGTTTGCCCTCTGGCAGTCTAATGGGGGGCATTTTCTCAGTCAGGGCTCCTTTTTAAAGGACTTTAGCTTGTGGCAAGTCGACATAAAACTAGCCAGCACAGCTTCCCATCAGAAGCCTATTTTGTGTCTCAGATTTAATAGTGAATCATTACAAAGCATTTTTGCTAAAGTTTAAGTGAGGCAAGAATTTTATTACAGCTTCTGCTGTTGCTATTTCATTTAAGTAGTAAAAAAAAATGACAAAAGGATTTGGAAAGAAGAAATACGACTAATGCACTTGTTCTTCAACAGTTTCTAACTCTATGACACCAAAGAGAGGTCTCAGATAGCTTAGTTAGAATTTAAAATATGTGAGCAAAGTGTCCAGAACCAAGAACCTTGGAAGCCAGGGCTGTAGCTCAGTGGTAGAGCACTCTACAAGGCCAATTGCTGGATAAAAGTCTTAAGTTTGCATGAACTAATAATACTGAGGTACCGTGTGGGTAAGAGTACCCTGTAGCCGAGCTTGGTTCTCTGTTGCCAAGGATAAACTTGCACTCATGATTCTTTTGCTTCTCTCTCTCAAATGCTGGTCTTAAGGTGTGTACCACCACACCTGTTTTATGTAGTGCTGGTTTGGGGACCCGGGGCTTTGTGCATGCCAGGCGAGCACTTTACCAGCTGAGCTAACAGCTCCCCCGTCCCCCTTGACCTTTTTGGTTTTTGTTGACTGAGTTTTCTGTCCCGCCCGGTGGGGCGCGCCCGCCCCCCCCCGCAGTCATTAAGTCTCAAAGAAATCACACAGAGGTCTGCATTAACTATAAACTGATTGGCCCATTAGCTCAGGCTTCTTATTAACTCTTATAACTTATATTAGCCCATTATTCCTGTCTATGTTAGCCACGTGGCTCGGTACCTTATTCAGTGAGGCAGTCACATCTTGCTTCTTCTGTGGCTGGATCAGGACTGCAGACCAAGCTTTCCTCTTCCTAGAATTCTCCTGTTCTCCTTGACCCACCTCTACTTCCTGTCTGGTTGTCCTGTCTATACTTCCTGCCTGGCTACTGATCAATCAGCGTTTATTTAACAGTATACAGTCAATTGTCCCATATCAGTTTTTTTTTTTTTTAAAGCACAGTGGCTCATGTATTTCAGGCTGGCTTTGCTAGTAACTGTGGATACATTTTGACTCCTGATCTACTTCCTGGGACCATAGGTGTGCACCACCATGCCTAACTTCATCTAGTCTTCTGAATGAATTCATTGAGACTCAGTCTCAGCCTTTTGCCCCACAGTACTGTTATATGAAACTGACGTGAGAGCTACAGCTCCCGTGTGCAGGCAGGCCACCGCTCATGTCTGTGTCTGTTCCAGGCCGCAGCTGATGAGAAGCATGTTCAGCATTAGCCCCCTGGAGAACCTGAAGCTCTACGTCAGCAGCCGGCCACCCTTGGTGGTTTTCATGATCAGTGTCAGCGCCATGGCCATTGCCTTTCTCACGCTGGGCTATTTCTTCAAGATCAAGGAGATTAAGTCTCCAGAAATGGCCGAGGTACAGTATACTCCTAATTTCCACTGTGCTGGGTGGACCTTGTATTAAGTGGGGGCAACTCTTTTTTATTTTTGAGGTCTCACTCTAGTGAAGCGAAGGCCAGTCTGCAACATACTATATATTTGCTGATCTAGAATTTGAAGTGATCTTCCTCCCTCAGCTTTATGAATATTGGGATAATATTATGTGTTGTGTATTACCACACCTAGAAGGTTTTTTGTTTTTGTTGTTTGTTTGTTTGTTTTGAGGCAGGGTCTCATGTAGCATATACTGACCTTAAACTCCAGATTCTCTTGCCTCTGCCTCTCAAATGCATAGATCTATCCAGCAAAAGATACATATTTATACAGAATTTCCTGTTCTTTTCCTTGTGAATGCTTTGTTAGGGAATACTTACATAGTTGTTTTAAATAGTACTATCAGTTCATGTAGACTATTTCAATAGAGAAATAGATGCATTTGGAAGAGTGTATTTATAAAACAAAAACCTGAGTCAAAAGAGGGCTGGAAATGGTGGTGTACTTCTATGATACAACAACAGGAGACTGAGGCAGAAGGCATGTGAGGTCAGGGCTATCCTGGGCCATGTAGTAAAACCTTGTTTCAAAAGAAGAGAGAGTGCGTGAGCTAGGGAATTCACCTCTTGGTAGTCACGTTACATTGTTCTGAAATTGTGACTGGGACAGTTAAGCACGCAGAGCCACCTTCTGGCTTTCTCATTTGTACAGGTGGTGTTTTTGTTAGACAAGGGATCCTATTGACGAGGACATGATGTAGAAGTGGTCAGAGGATGTAGAGAAGGAATGAGTGGAAACAGTGTATAGTGAAACATGTGTGAAGCTGCTGTGCTGAACCCATAACCCTGGGTGGTGGTGGCACACGCCTTTAATCCCCACACTTGGGAGGCAGAGGCAGGCAGATCTTGTGAGTCTGAGTGCTGGGATTAAAGGTATGAGCCACCACCACACAGCCATAAATATATAAATCTTAAAACAAACAAAAACAAAGCAAAAAAGCTTTTAAATGAGTGTGAATTAGTGATTTTAATTTTTCAACCACTTTTGTTCAAGACTCTCTTTTCTTTGTTTTTGTTTTGGATTTTGTTTTTTGTCTAGACAGGTTTTCTCTGTGTAGCCATGGCTGTCCTGGAACTCAGATCCACCTTTTTTTATAATATTTATTTTTAGTTTATGTGTATGAGTGTCTGCCTGCATGTAAGTATGTGTATCGTGTACCCAAGGAGAACAAAAGGCTATCAGATGCTCTGGCTCAGTAGGTACACATTGTTGTGAGCCACCATGTGGGTGCTTGGAACCGAAGTTGGTTCCTCTGTAAGAGCAGCAAGTGTTCTTAACCACTGAGCTCTCGACAGCTCTCACAACCTATTTTGTTTTTCCTTTATTTACTTTTATGTGTATGGATGTTTTGCCCACATTTATGTCTGTACCACGTGTGTGCAGTGCCAAGAAGGGCGTCAGGACTCTTGGAACTAGAGTTAGAGTGAGTGCTAGCAGCCCTGTGGGGCTGGGAATCGCTGGCGGGGCCGTCTTATCCACTGAGCCATCTCTACAGCCCATCAAGATCCCTTTGTGAGTTTGTTCTTGAGGCTAGTTGGTTTTCTCTTCCATATAATTTGCTGGATTCTCAGATAATGTGTAGATTGCACAGTTCAGGTTTCCAGGGCTAACATGATGGTGGTGTATTTTGACTTGGGACAGTCACTGTCAAGTCATTTTTTTCCTCTTGTCCTGTGGTAGCAGTTAAGGATCATTGTTATTCCTGCATTGGAGATGCTGGGGGCCTCATATCTGTCTCTCTGTTTTACTTTGCCGAAGGATTGGAATACTTTTCTGCTGCGCTTTAATGATTTGGACTTGTGTGTATCAGAAAACGAGACACTGAAGCATCTCTCCAATGACACCACCACCCCTGAGAGCACCATGACCATTGGGCAGGCCAGATCATCCACTCAGCCGCCCCAGGCCCTGGAGGAGTCAGGCCCCATCAATATCTCAGTTGCCATTACCTTGACCCTGGACCCTCTCAAGCCCTTTGGAGGGTACTCTCGAAACGTCACACACCTGTACTCCACCATCCTTGGACATCAGATTGGACTCTCAGGTGTGTCAGCTTCTTCCCTTTCAGAGCTTTTAGGCAGCAACTGAGATAGGCTGTTCTGTTTTTGCGAGTGATTCTCCTCTTGAGATGTGGACTTACTGAAGTCCAGAAGGAGTGGTTGCTGTGAGCCTTCACTCAGTTGGGTTGTAAAGTATCATACACAGTCTCTTGTTTGTTGTTTGAAACAGGGTTTGTCTTTGTATTCCTGGCTGTCCTGGAACTCACTCTGTAGACCAGGCTGGCCTCACACTCAGAGATCTGCCTACGTCTGCCTTCTGAGTACTGGGATTAAAGGTGTGCACCACCACTACCTGGCCATACACAATCAGAGGGGCTGAAGAGATAGCTCAGTGGTCAGGAGCACTGGTGGTTCTTCTAGAGGACCTGGGTTCAATTCCTAGCACCTACATGGTAGTCTGTAACTCCACTTCCAGGGGATCTGATACCTTCACACCAATGCACATAAATTTAAAATAAACAAAAGCCTCACAGAGTTAGCACTGATGGGTCCAGAGGCACAGCTCAGTCTTAGAGCACTGGGCTTGTGTGTGAGGCCCTGGCTTCCTCTATAGCACTGGGAGAGGGAGTGGGGAGAAAAAGGAGAGAGAATTTCAAGGTGCAAGGTCTGTTTCTGACCTCAGTATAAGTGACCTTTGAACAACATAGGTTTTACTTGCACAGGTCTAGTTATATACTTTTTTTTTATTATTGAAAACTTTTGTGTGAACCTGGGCGGTGGTGGTACACGCCTTTAATTCTAGCACTTGGAAGGCAGAGGCAAGCGGATCTCTATGAGTTCGAGGCCAGCCTGGGCTACAAAAGCTAGTTCCAGGACAGGCTCCAAAGCTACAGAGAAACTCTGTCTTAAAAAGCCAAAAAAAAAAAAAAAAAAGGGAAAAAGAAAACTTGTGTATAAATGTTGTATGGGTATATGTACATTCATGTGTGTTCCTGGTGTCTGCAGATGGCTGAAGAGGGCATTCGATCCTCTGGAACTGGAGTTACAGATGATTGTGAGCCTCTGCAAGAGCATCCAGTGCTCTTATCTGTGGAGCCATCTCTCCAGCCCTCTATTTGAAACCAAGACTAAGCAAATGTGAAGATGCTGTTTTAGGTCATAAAGGCCTTGGGCCAGGCGTGCTGGTGCAGTGATAATCCCTGCTGTGGGGAGTGAAGCATTAGGATTTGAGTTTCAGGCTCTGCCTCAGAAACAAAGAAGCCGATGGCACATCCCTTTAGTTCTCAGCACTCCAAAGACAGGCAGGTGGATCTATGCAAGTTTGAGGCCATCTAGTCTACAACAAGTCTGGAACAACGGGGCTGTATACTGAGAACTTGTCTCAAAACAGAACAAAACAAACAAAAAAACAAGAAAAACCAAAAAAAAAAAAAAAGAAAAAAGAAAAAAAACCTAGAGGATTAAAAGAAAAAGACAAGGTGACGCTTGGTAGAAGCAGGAGGATTGTAAGTTCAAGGTTATCAGTATTGAGTTTGAGGTGACACATAAAAATACAAAAACATTGTAGAAGCTCAAAATTAACTATGTTCTACAGTCTTTCTGTGATAGCTTTGTAGCCAGCTTCTGATTGCAGTGGGGTCATGAGTGTCCACTTAAAACATCTTCGTTTGCTCAGTCACCACTGTGTGCGCAGCTCATCCGTCCAGTCAGTGTCAGTGGCACACGGCAGTCAGAGGGTTTGCTCTTGTGTAGTTCTCCTTGTTTATGATAATGAATATTTATGTGCTAATTGACTGTCGATGTTATCAGTCAGCATCAGGCAAAATTAGTAGTTAAGTCTGGGGAGTCAGGAATTCTACTCAGTTTTTGAACTATGTGGGAGCCAGCACCTGAATACCATGTTGCTCAAGACACAAGTGTATTTACAAACATCTATGAATAGGTGTGTTCTTTGGGGTTTGTAATACATTGCCATTTTTATTTACTTAGTGTGTGTGTACAGTGAACATGTAAAGGTCTGAGGTCATTCCCCGGTAGTTGGTTTTCTATACATAGGTTCCCAGGATTATTCTCCTGTCACCATCGGACTTCTTTGCTCTTGGCCCACTACTGGTTATTTTTACTATTGCTTGTGATGCCGAAACTTGAACCAAGGCTTCGTGGGTGTGAAAAAAGTGCTCTTTCAGGCCCTTTCTTAAAATTTTCAATTAATTAATTAAGCCTGGTGGTGGTAGTGGTGCACACTTTTAATCCCAGCCCTCAGGAGGCAGAGACAGGTGGATGGATCTCTCTATGTTTGAGACCAGCCTGGGTTACAGAGTTGAGTTCCAGGATACCGAGGGCGGTTACACAGAGAAACCCTGTCTTTGAGGAAAAAAAAAATTATGTGTGTGGATGTATTGCCTGGTATCATGGAGGCCAGGGGAACAGGATTCCCTTGGGACTGGTGTTACAGACAATTGTGTGCTGCTGTGTGAGTTCTGTAAATTGATTCTTAGGTACTCTTAACCACCGAGCATCTCTCCTGCCCCAGGTCTGCACAGTTTTAAATGCCCACCATTTATTTAGCAGTGTGCTAACTTTCAGGAAGAACTAGAAAAAACCTCAGACCCTTGGAATTTGGGGATCATTCAAGAGGCAAAAATAACAGGAATTGGGTTGTTAAGGGCTTGTCTAGCATGTCTGAGTTCCTGAGTTCAGTTGCCAGTACTGTAAAAGATAAACCAAACAGCAGCCAAAGTCTATATACTGCCTAGTTTTTTTTTTTGGTACCTGTCCTGGAACTAGCTTTTGTAGACCAGGCTGGCCTTGAACTCACAGATCTGCCTGCCTCAGCCTCCCAAGTGCTGGGATTAAAGGCATTTGCCACCACCGCCCAGCCATATACTGCCTAGTTTTATGTCGGCTTGATATAAGCTAGAGTCATCTGGGAAGAGGAAACCTCAATTGAGAAAATGTTCCCACTAGATTGATCTGTGGGTAAGCCTGTGGGTTAATTTTAATTGATGATTTATGTGTGAGGGCACTCCTGGACTAGTACACCTGGGTTCTATAGGCTGAATAAGCTGAGAGGAGCAAGCCAGTTATCAGTTCTACTCTATGGCCTCTGCATCACCTCCTGCCTCCAGGTTCCTGCTCTGTTTGAGGTCCTGCCATGACTTTGCTATGCAGTGGAGTGCAACCTGAGAGATAAAAACAAACAAACCCTTTCCTTCCCAAATTGCTTTTGGTCAGTCTTTTATCACAGCAATAGAAGGCTATCTAAGACAGTTCACTATGAATTAACACTTACAAGGTGCTTAAAATAATTGCTGGCACAGAGGAAATGCTATCTAGGGCTTTGTTAAATGTATGTTACTTTTGTATTCCTGTGATAAAATACCATGATCAGAACAACTTATAAAGGAAAGCTTAATTGGGCGTAATGCTCTAGAGGTTTGACTTTATGACAACTGATGGTAGAGCAGGCATGGCTGCAGGGGACTGGAGCAGCAGCTGAGAGCTCACATCATGATCCACAAGCAGGAGGCAGAGAGCACACTGGGAAAGAGGCTTTTAAGCTTTAAATCCTATTCCTATGCTTCATAATCCTTCCCAAATACTTATACCAAATGTGGACTAGTGTTCAACATTTGAGCCTATGGGGACCATTCTCACTCAAACTACCACGTTAAATAATAATAATAATAATAATAATAATAATAATAATAATAATAATAA